ATATATATATATATATATATATATATATACATATATAGGCCTATATCAAATAGAAAATTATACAGTGCTTAAATATAAAGGAGCATGATGTTGTAAATCGCATCAAACATAGTTCATCAACGAAAGTTACTTATAGTTTTACAAAATATAGGTCGCTAGTGGGAATCGTACCCGCAATCTCTCGCTATCTCGGCGAGCATCATACCGTTTTATACGACAGAAGCCCGTAGATATCATTACAGATCTAAGACCTGTAGTCTCTCTTCCTTCATACAATATGATTGCTCACACATAGTAGAGCCAATTTTTAAGCTACTGCACGTCATAGCTTACGGTATAGGTAGCAGTTGGTAAATCATTAAATAATATTAAAATAAAGTTGCTGCTTAGCACTGGGAACACAAATAATGTATAAATCAAATAGATAATAATACAGTGCTCAAATATAAAGGAACATGATGTTATAAATCGCATCAAACATAGTTCATTAACGAAAGTTCCTTATTATAGTTGTATGAAAAAGAGGTCTCTGGTGGGTATCGAACCCAGTTAATAATTGACACCATTATACTAAAGAAGTCCAAGGTTTACCGTTTGTACTGGACGTCTTATCACTCTGGGTTCACAGGGCCGTCGGGACCTTCTCTCAATTCTATTTTTAAATGTATATATACTGATACCTATAAATTATATTAATTTATTTTTAATGTTTAAATCACATTGTCTTTTACTGTTATATATTTAAATAAAAATCTATCATGCGCTTGTTTTTGCATTGCTATATATGTATATTTAGACATATTTTGGCAATACTTGATTGATTTGAAAAAAATGTTTAGACTCTATGGTGTTTAAATTGAAGATTTAAATTATTTTTTATTTCATCATCTCTATTGCAACCCCTAGTTAAATGTATATATGTATATATATAAAAAACATAAGATACATTAGGCTCTAGTAAAATATAAGAATAAAATAATAATTACAAGAATTCCCATTACAACAATAAATGAAAACAGTTGTGCAATCAATGAATACAATAATAACATTATAAAATTTTTTATCGAAAATCAAATCAATTCTACAGTATTAAAGTACAACACTATAAACAAATCGTTCTACAATTTAAAAATATATTAAAAATTACAAAAACAACTACAGTGTAAACGCCATTAACGTGTTGAATAAATAAAATAAAAATAATATATTTGGAAGCTGCAAGAGCTAACGATACATAAAATAAAATTTACAATTTATTTGTTAATGTTTACATCTCAATTCTCATCAATTGTTTTGACAGTGAAAGTAATTAATACCACAATACACATACATGAACCACTTGAAATACAATAAGTTAACGGTACGTTTGATTATGATAATATGTATATTACCCAGCAATGTATATTTTATCAGGTTGGTTCATCCAAGGTTGGTAGTGTAGTATTTGGATTGTGAATAGGTATAGATAGTAGGCCCTATTCGAAAAAAATAATATACGAAATTAATTTTCTTTTTAAATGATGTATTATTGTACTCCAGTGCATAAAGTTAATAATATTGATATGACTTAATGATAACAAATGAATTATATATTAGCAAGAAATTTATCATTTTAACGAAAACAATTCTGGATTTTATTATTTTTTCTCTTAGCGAGGATAAACAAACTAATCTACAACAAGGGAAATACGGCAGTAAATCTCAAGATTGGAAGAATAAATATCAACAAAGAATACCTACTATACCAAGCCAGAGTGGTGAACAACATATTCCCACCTTTCCACCAATTAAAAGTCAGGATGACGTATGTCAACCAAAACAACAAATACTCTTTCTCAAAACACATAAAACCGGAAGTTCAACTGTGACCTCCATCTTACAAGTGTATGGTTACTGGAGAAATCTCACATTCGCGGTTCCAAAAAGCGGTGCTCAGATTTTAAGTCGGTCGTTCTTCAGGGCGGGTCAAGTTCATCCTGGAAAGTATGATATGTTGGTGAACCACGCGAGGTATAACAGAGACGAAATGGAAAAAGTGATGAAACCGGGTGCAAAGTATATCACAATACTTAGAGACGTCACCACGCAGATTGAATCCAACTTCGGATACTTTGGGCTGTACTACTCGTTTGGACTTAAAAATAGTTCAAATCCTTTTAAAACATTTGCCGAGAATCCTTCATACTACTGGACAACGTACAAGCGAGCTAGTTTTCGTAGATATATGAAGAATCCTAATTTATTCGATTTAGGTTTGTCGGAAAAAGACCAGGAAAACATAACTGCGGTCGAGAGGTTAATTACAAAAATATCACAAGAATTCGATCTTGTTCTTATCCAAGAATATTTTAACGAATCTTTACTATTGCTTAAAAAACTTATGTGTTGGAAACTGGAAGATATATTGTATCTGTCGAAAGGAAAAAGGAGCTCCCGTATTCGTTTTGTCGTCGAACAACGCACGATACTTTCAATTCGAAGGTGGAGCTGGGCAGACGTATTATTATACGATCATTTTAATAAAACGTTATGGAAGAAAATAGAAGAATATGGACCATCTTTTAATGCGGATCTTGCAGAATTTGAATCAAAACTAAATGAAACGCTCTACAATTGTACTTTACCGAACGCACGGATCTATGATAATCGTCGAGAAACGGCGCTTAGAAAAAACCCGAAAGGATCACCAAAATGTGATGATATGCTGAGGAATGATCTTCATTTTACAAAAATGTTGCGTCGCATCCAATATGGCGAAAACATAGACGGCACAAAATTACCAAACAAAACGAGCCCTAAAAAATCATGATAGTAATATTTATAGTTACTTATTTATAATGGCTTGGAAAGATATTATCTTACTCTGTCATGTTATATTTGAAATAGAAAACTGTCTTTCAGAAGATTTCGGTACCTCTAGTCGGTACCTCTAGTCTAGTCAATATGTGACAAAATTCCACTCAACCCTAGCCTAACAGAAGTTGGGCCAGTGTTGGGCGGGAGGAGGTAGGGCCCCCGTCTTCGAGAACACCCCCCCCCCTTCTTCGTTCTGAGAGATAATTTCCCCCCCCCCTTCGGGCAAATCCTGTTGCCACCCCTGAAGGCAACTCGCGACGAGGTGCTCGGCTGCCACTGTCAATCCTCAGATGATGTGGGTCGTCAAGCACTCAGCGCGAGATCTGTCTCTTATACACATCTAGATGTGTATAAGAGACAGCGGTACTTGCGCCTGAAATGATTGGTTGAGCTGGTAACACATTCCATGGCGGCAGTGTCTAAAACCAACAAAAACAATAAAATAGGCCTTGAAATGTTGCCTCCCTTCTTTGACGAAAACAAATTCATTTTGTTGAAGTTTTGGAAAACAAAGAACACATACGGACCAACTGAAAACTTGACCTGCAGAGCAGACAAAAATAGCTGAAGTAGTTAATAACCAATTAATATCCTCAATTCCCTCCTTAACTGATCGCCGATCCCCCACGTAACCTTCTCCCCCACACTTACAGTAGTTGATTCATATTCACACGACACCAAATTTCAAACACCCTTATTTCATATGGTTCGTTTTGTACCAACGCGGGCGTACTTACAATTTCAGGCTGCTCAATTGATGGTGGTTCTGATGGTACAAATACAATAGGAGTCAGGAACCCAGCGCAAATCCCTTTCTTTAAACTTTCCGAAGTGTCTTCGATTGCAGCAGTACTCATATAGAATGTTTTGATTGGCATGTTACCATTATAATCCACACCTGTAGAGTAAACGAATGAAAAAAAAAAAAAAAACTGGATTTACAAATTGGAATCGGCATCATCGGTAACAACATCGTCATCATCATTTGTCGCTTTTATTCACGTCCGCGTCACCATGTGATCATCACCACCAACATCACCACGGTCATAGTTATCACTATCATCATCACCGCCCCAGGCCTCACAGGGGCGCAACCAGAGAGGGGTCAAGGGATCCTTTTCCTAGCCCCCCCCCCCACCTCAAATTAATCAAAATTTTAAAACATCCCGATTATAGTACAGTAGTAAATGAAAGTGAAACAAGGTATACTGTATAATAGGAAATGTTGTGAAATAAAAAAAAAAACATTTTGTTACAATCATGGTAACTCTCTGGCTACCCGTATTGAAGTAGCAAATGAAAACACCTAATTTAATACAGTATTATTTGGTATAGTTAGGGAAGAGTCCGACTCTCATCAGTCATTTTGATACCGCACCTCTCGTAAGCCACCGCCTCCCGTAAGCGACCGCTACAACTTCTTACTTTTGGATTTTCCTCTTGTCAACAAATACGATCAGATTGTCTTATAATTCGCACCGAAATTTAAATGCGGTGATGTTGCACCGTTAGCTGCGTCAAACTAATAATATTATAGGCTGAAGCAACACTAAAGAAAATAAATGCGATAATAAGGTAAATAGGCCTCGCTTTCTCAAGTCCAAGAAGATGCTTGCAGTAGTTAATAGAACTCACCTACGTTTAAGACCTATTAAAGAATAGGCCTTCTTCGGAGGCTCATGATTATAAAATCATTATCCTTTGTTGGTGGAACCAGGGAAGAGTGAAATCTCCACCAAATTTATTTTCTTGTTTACACATTGCGTTCGGGCTGATTTTATTTTGTTAGAGGTTTATAGAAACTAATGTGGTGAAAACTCTTAACTCTACCTCGTAAAATAACGCAAATTTTCCAGGCTCTTCGACCCCAGGCCCCGACCGGGGGCCCTTCTCAGCCCCTGTCCCCATTCTAGTTGCTCGCTGCGCTCGCAAGGCTTTACCCTCTCAAATTGTACCTTGCTGCTCTCCTGGACCCATCATCATAACTGCTGTCGTTATTGAAATCACCATAATCCTTATTGTTACCATTGTAGCCTAATCATCACATTGATCATAGACTTCATCACCACACTATCATCTTCTTTAGCATCGTCATCCTCATCATCGCCAACATAACATAACCATCATCATCATCACTACAATCCCCTGCATCATTATTATCATCATCATTTTATAATGATAATTAGTGTTGATAGTTTTCATCATATCTATATCATTATACCTACCAGACAAGCACCCGTCAAACCCTGTTAAACCGTCCAATCCAAAGCCCGTAAGATTCGACTCAATTCCGCCCACTACAAACAAATCACGTGACATAAACTGGATATCACTACCAGCAGGTGATATATCCTTATAGGCGGACTCTTTATTATCCACCTAAAATGAAACAAAATCATGTTTAATCCTCTATTCTACCAGTAGCAGATCTAGAGGTGATGAAAGGGGGCATCCCCCTCCTTTTCCCGGTGACAACAAAAAAATCTCTAGCCTAAATGTAGGTTTGTTTACGTAAAGCTTAATGTATTGCTTATAAATTATATGGCTAAAAACTGTTGAACTTCTGCAGCCCCTTGCATCTACACAATAAGGGGTACACCTTGGTGATAGGAAATTGTTCCTCCGTCGTCTGCTGAACCCCCTCCTCTGCATGATTGTACTTTTTATGTTTTTGGAGGAAATAAATATATTATTATTAAGTAATCGTATTACTAAAATAAACCTGGTCAACAAATGATAAATATACTGTACAACAAAAAATAAATGATTTACTCACAGACATCATTATTCGGTTTCCATAGCGACGTAATATAATCAAATGACGATAACCGTCATTGTAAGAGTCAAGTTCTTGTACAGTATCTATAAATCGATATTTCGTGAAAATGATCAACTTCCTAATTACAGAATGCTGCAATCATACCTTTAGGGTGGATTAATACAAGTCATGACTTTTTTTTTTATTGCAAGCAAACAAAGAGAAATTGTTGGCATTTGATTTCATGCTTGTTATTTTTATGTTGAAATAAATCAATTTGTTCACCTATCCATTTATTAATTTGACTGTCTACCTAGACCTATGGTATTTTTCATAACCTATAAAACAGTTGAGTTAATTATACTTAATTGTATTATTAGTCAGTTCAATGTATTTGCATGCTTCATCACTTTGATGTTGATGTAAAAATGTTATCAAATTTTAATAGGCCTACTCTAACAATAAGGGACTTCGCCAGCGTGGGAGGGGTAGCCTCCCCCCCCCCCTTGTCAG